AGGATGTTTCAGTGAAGACAGCTGCTGCTGTGGTGTCCATGATGTCTGTCCATCATGAAGGATGTTGTTGTTTGTTTGTTGTTTTCTGGAATGAGACAGTAAATATGTTTTATATCATAATTTACAGCAACTCAAGAAATGCCTTGTTTCACTTACAGCGTTAGGTTCAGGCAAAAGTAGCTAAACGAGCAATTAAACACACACACACACACACACACATATAAAATACTTAATTACACATATTTGAGTAGATGTAATAAATGACTTTAATTCCTGTTTAAATGCAATTCATCCTGCCATACAGCAGTGTCTTCAGACTTTGCCAGCAAATTAAAAGTTGAAGCTTAATCATTAAATTATTATCTTTGTGTTAGATTTATTTATAAATCACATTTAAACACTGCTTGTCCAATTAAATTAAATAAAAAGTAACACACGTTCTCTATCACCGTCATTAATCAGATAAACAAACAAACAAACAAACAAACAGCTTCATCTTCAGACAGACTGACGTTACGTTTTCTCTCTTGAAACAGAACAAAGTGTTAAATTGTAGAGACTCACCTGCAACACATGAAGAGTTGGATCAGCTGCAGCTCCTTCCTCCTCCTCGTGAATCAGACATGTTTACGTTTCATCTCCGTGGTTCTCTCGTGTCGTGTCAGTGATTTTCAAAGCTGCATGTTTCTCATTTTTTATCTTTGTGAAGTTCTCCCACTCTTTGGAGGACTTGGGTCAAATGGTTTTCGCTGCGTCGGTCATTTGTAAAATTTACTCATTTTGCTTTGAAAACAGCCTCTGCTTTTCTTCCTCCGCCCCCTCGCTCTGTTCAACTCACGCTGCAGTTTGTTTGTTTTTAAACTTTATTCAGTCAGTCAGCATTGACAATGAACTGCAGGTGAACAAAACGAAACGGCGCCGCAGCGCCCTGGAAGATGCATAATCGCGCGACACAACGAATCGATAACGAAATTCGTTGTCAACGCTTTTAATCATCGATTTTTATCGATTTTATGGATTTTATCGATTCGTTGTTGCAGCCCTAATCTTGAGTTGAACTAGAAGCAGATTTTGTGAAGAATGAAGCTGATGAACTTTAGTCACGAGTTCTGGACTCACTGACCCGTGTGAGCTCCGTCAGTCAGAACCTCAGCCGACCCAAACCACTTAGTTCAGTCGGTCTGGGTCTGTCTACTAACCGGATCAGACCCACGTTTAACCCGTCTGCTCCGCGTTTGGGTCCTGAGGGACACCCAGACCACTGTCCAGCTCCTCCTGGACTTCCAGGTCCAGACCAGAGCGGGTGTGTGGTCCCTGCAGAGTTCTGTGTCTCCTCTCAGAGCCAGAACACCTGATCCGGTGGTCCACCTGGTTCAGGTGTCAGAAGCTGTGTTGTTCTGGTGTCTGCAGGATACCCTGGTTCCAGTACCCCATCATCTACGACATCCGGGCCCGACCCAGAAAGATCTCGTCCCTCACGGGGAGCAAAGGTCAGACTTTATAAACTTCTGATTTTAAATTATTTCTCTGAACTGTTTGAAGTTTGTACAAAAACTCAGAACCTCACGGTCCAAAAGAACCCTCTGAGGACCTTCAGAAAGTCCAGAGACCCGTTGATCCAGAACCTGGTGTGTGTGTGCCCCCCCAGACCTCCAGATGGTGAACGTGACGCTCCGGGTTCTGTCCCGGCCTCTGGCCAGCAACCTGCCGTTCCTGTACCAGCACCTGGGCATGGACTACGACGAGCGGGTTCTGCCGTCCATCGTCAACGAGGTTCTGAAGAGCGTGGTGGCCAAGTTCAACGCCTCGCAGCTCATCACGCAGAGAGCCCAGGTAGGACCGGACCCACCGTCGTCAGTCTGTCGCTCCGGTTCCAGAAGTGACGTAATTTAACCGGGTCAGAACCGGTCCAGTCCTGCCAACGTCCGTTTCTTTTATTTTCATCCATTAATCCATCGCACGGAGCAGACGGCTGCCGTCAGGGGCGCCGGGGAGCACCTTCACCTTTCACACCCACATCTGGGAGTTGAACCGGTGTCCCTCCAATCACAGGCCCACCCTCTCTAACCTCTGCACCACCAAGCCTCCATGTTTCCTGCTGTAACCATGGCGTGCTGCGTGACGTCTTCAGAACCATCAGATCTGGGCTTCAAGCCCTGAAGTCATCTTAGGGATTTGGACCCGTGTCTGTTCACTGGTTCTGTTTGACGTGCCTCCCCTGATGTGCTCACTCTTGTTAACCCGGTTCTGTTTGGGTTCTGATCCGTCTCGGCAGGTGTCTCTGCTGATCCGCAGGGAGCTGTTCGAGCGAGCCAAAGACTTCAACATCATCCTGGACGACGTGGCCATCACCGAGCTCAGCTTCAGCCGCGAGTACACGGCCGCCGTGGAGGCCAAGCAAGTGGGTGAGTGCACAGGAAGTGAGGTCGTGGTGGACAGGAAGTGAGGTCGTGGTGGACAGGAAGTGAGGTCGTGGTGCACAGGAAGTGATGTCGTGGTGCACAGGAAGTGAGGTCGTGGTGGAAAGGAAGTGAGGTCGTGGTGGACAGGAAGTGAGGTCGTGGTGGACAGGAAGTGAGGTCGTGGTGGACAGGAAGTGAGGTGGTTGCCATCTTCGAAGAATCAAATCAAAGTTTAATATTCTGCAGTTTGTTGTTTTTTGTACCAAAACGATAAAGTTTTATTTTTTGTTAATTGTCCGTCCATTTTAGGAGAAATGATGTCAACATTTCCCAGAAGTTATTTTAATAGTTTTTATTTTTACATGTTTCTTATTTTAGAGGAGAGCTTTCCTTTATTTTTATTACGGTTTTATTTTTTCAACCCTTATTTTAAAGTCATAGTTACTTTAACATATACATTTTTAATTTTCATAATTTCTCATGTTTTAACTGCAGAATATTCAAAATGTGTTTTATTTTCTGTGGTCAGGATGTTTCAGCAGCTTGATAAATAACTGTTCCTGACTGTTGCTGTTTGTCCTCCAGCCCAGCAGGAGGCGCAGCGAGCTCAGTTTTATGTAGAAAAGGCCAAACAGGAGCAGAAACAGAAAATCATCCAGGCTGAAGGAGAAGCTGAGGCTGCCAAGATGGTGAGTTCACATCAAATCATTAAAGCCTTCGTGAAGTCCTAAACTCATTCACATTCTCACATCCAGTGTTGGACCCAACGAGTCAGAACCTGAACATAAAGTCCTGCTGGTGATTTGTGCAACAATGTTTTGTTTAAACGAGTTTTCGTGTTTATTTAAAGTCTTAAAACATGACTCATCACAAAGCACCTGACATGAACTCACCTGAGACAGGCCACGCCCCTAGCTTTGATCCTGACGGTTCTGCTGGGGCGGCCCGGCTCGAAACGTTCTGACTCTTTGTGTTTGTTTGACAGCTGGGCATGGCGGTGACGAAGAACCCAGGATACCTGAAACTCAGGAAGATCCGGGCGGCGCAGAACATCGCCAAGACGGTGAGAAAAGTTCTGACGGGCCTGTCTGCTGCGGGCCGGTGCCGACGGGTTCTGCTCCGACAGAACCACACAAACGAAGCCTGCGTTTCTCTTTGATCTTTGACCTCTGAAACACTCAGAGGTCGTTCTCAAGAATAAACCAGAGAGAAGACGTTTCCTACCAGAGAAACTGCAGGTCCTGTGAAACTGCAGGGTGCACGGCCCAAGAACTGACTGACAGTTAGCTACAACAGCTGCAGTTAGCTACAACAGCTGCAGTTAGCT